ATCCGATAATAAACATGATTCTGCCATTTGCATTAATGACTTTCGGATTAGAATGATATCATTTGCTACTAGGTCTGCGATAGTTGCGATATCAAAGGTTTTCGTAGAAACTGCGGTTTCTTTTAAGCCAGTTTTAATCAGCTCCTTCTACAACAAAAAGAGATATGTGTTCTGACTTATCTATTTTACACTCAAGTTTAATTTTAAATAAGAACACTGGTGCATTTTAAAGAGCTATTTTGAAAGTGAAATGATTCTTATTTAACTTTAGTTAGCACGCAATTACGTAATAAAAAAAAAAGGAACTTCGCAGGCAGATTCTTTTTTAAGCTGTCTTAACAGCGAAATGAAAAAAAAAAAAAAAAAAAATCGGAGTCTTTTTTAGCTTTTTGCTGGCTATATATCCTATATAACAGCATGAAAAGTAATATCTGAACTGACATCTTTGCATTAAAGAATACGTTCATTAGTACTTATATTGATATATGTTTTTTAGTTTACTAAGTTCTTCCTTCAACTCTTTTCTTGAAAAAAGTATATATCGCGTAATTTTTACTTTCGATTTTCAAGAGATAAAGAAAATAACGTAGATTATGTGGCTTTGTGACTTTGGAAAGATTATAAGAAAAAGGAATGCAAGTGATTTTTCACCAAAGAAACAAATATCTGATAAAATAAAAATTAAGAAAGTAAGATGATTGAATAAACCTAATTTACTTTTTATTGTATTTAATATATATTTGCTGTCTAATTCAACACAGCTAATTCTTTTTTTTAAAAAAAAAAGTTTTATACATGTAAATCATCACAGTATATTAACGTACTTACTTAAAATACTTTTTTTTTCATAATTTCATTCCTAAATGATGACGAGATTCAAACTCTTTTAATCCTAATATACATCCTACATGATCTAATAACAGAATATGATATAGATGAACTTTTTAATGTTGCATATTAAACAGAACCGTAAATAGTACATGTTCCTTAATATAATTAAGAAGATAAATATATATATGGTTTTAAAGTTATAGAACCATTACGTTGTTTTGATGTTGAAGACGTAAAAAATGAGCAATGCTCTCGCCGGGACTCTAACCTTGACTTTTGAATACGCGCCGAATGTGCTACCGCTACACCACATTAACATGCAAAAGGGAAGGAGAAAATATCTTATATACTCCCCCTTTTAAAGTGCAACTGGGGATTAGGGGACCCAGTCGCCAAATCTTGGTGGTGTAGAATCATCATCCACCACTTTTTTAGTTATTTAGTTCAGGTGCTATTGTAAAGACATTAGGTTATTTTTAAGCTGGAGAAGGGAAAAAAGGGCAATGCCCTCCCCCGGGACTCAAACCTGGACCTCTCAAATACCCCGAGTATGCTACCGTTACACAACGAAAGCATGCAGAAAGGAGGGAGAAAATACCTTATAAAGTATTGCATTTGTTTCAAATTACTTTTACACTACTGAATACATTTATTTAAATGAAAAATTTCTTGTGCTAAAATTATAAAGAAAAATTTTGTGCAGCAGTAAATTAATTATCAGATTTCTTATGCTTCTCGAAGAAGTTAAGGAGCTCCTAATATAATCTGCTCTCGTGCTAAAGAAAAGTTATTCGCAACAGTAAATGAAGTCTCGGATTTTATGCCCTCTTAGACGAAATTAAGGAAATCGCAGTGTCGTTAATTCACAATTTTCGTAAGTCTTTTGAAAAAACATCCGATTTCATCGTTTACATTATGCGGGAACATCCTTTCCCGTCATACGAGCTATTTCATCATATTTGTTTCCTATTATAAGAGAAAAAACATAAGTGAGGAGTTTCGAAAATGATTTAATAAATATACGTTAATTCATGTCCAGCAGTTTACTTATATTATTTTCAGAAAGTATTTCACGTAAGTGATGAGTTTAAATCTCTTTCATAAAATTTCAGGCAGAGCAAAGTGTTTGCTAGGCGCAATCATCACGTTTCCCTGCAGCAACTAGGAAGTGAAGCTCAGTGATGGATTGTGTTTGTTGTGGCGCCGCTGTCACAACCCCAACTGAACCTTGACTTCCAAATTGGACAGGCAGCTAGCTAGCTATACGAGTTGTGCAAATATATACGCCAATTTTGGGGTTTGGCTGAGGAGGTTATGCTTTAGGTTAGAGAAACGAGTTAAGACCAGATCCAATGGAGAATTCCTAAAGTATATAAATCTGTCTCAAAAACAGGGTGTATACTTGTAATAACTTTCTAATGGACCAAATTAACATTAATAATTATTCAAAATATTTCCACTAAACACGAAATGTGAATCTTTGATATTTCCAAAGTGAATATCTAAATTGCTATTTTAAGTAAATAAGGAAATTTAATGGTATTAAAATAGTTATTATATTGAGGAAGTAAAATATTTCACTTTGAAGAGGTATGTGTTATGTGAGCTTAATTCTCATATTCTAGTAACGTAAATATTATCAGATAAAAAATTTGTTTCTTGCATATGATTAAGAGAAATTATTTAAAACGGGAAGGGTCTAGATACTGTAACTTGATAATTACTTGAAGCTAGTGTAAATCAGCAACAAATCTTAGTCCATTTTAAATGGACTTATAACTTTATTTGCAATATATCTTTCTTATTGATAGTAAATACTGTTAGCTGTATTTAACTATCTTGATCTTTATTGTTTCAAATATATCAGAGGAAATGATTTTTTTCCCTTAACTATTAGCGTTTTATTTAATCATTAACTATTAAAGTTTATTTATCATGCATTACCTTTCATGGAAAAAGTAAAAATCTTTTCCCTCTTCTCAAGTAGCAATGTTAGTAGTATTTTTCTGCTGCTGCCGTTTAATGCATTTCTGAATTTAGAAGTCATTCGTCTTTCTTCTAAAAGTCCATTTGAATGTTTCAAATATATATATATATATATTTCTACTTAAAGTAACTATTTACTTTTCCCTTTAGACTATTTTACCTGAGACATAGAACTTTGACTATTTCACGTTAAAACGGAAAAGTAAACTACTTACTTTTTCAATTTTAACGTAAAATAGTTGTTAACTATGCATTTTGAAAGAAGTTAGTCATAAGAGATAGAAATTTACAATTTAAAAAGTAACGCAATAAATCTGACTTTAATCATAGTTGTCGAACATGCAGTTTCAAATATATACAATAATCAAATCCTGATTGTCGTATAATTAATATCAAAATAAAGCAATTAAACTATTGATAAAGCGCATATAAATTATTCTATCGCATTACTTTGTTTGCAAAATCAAGACATTTTTTACTTTTCTGTATTCATTTATTTCAAGCAGATGCACTGTAGCATCTAAGGTATCATTTTTAGTATTGTGTAATTATACTAAGCTTATTGTTATTTTGCGCACAGTATGCAAATGTTTTTTTATTTTAAACTGCTCATAAAGAAAACTACCTTTATTCATATTTCGCTAAAATATCTATCCTATAACTAAGTTATCTCCCTTTAATATTTAACAATAAGATACATAATTAGTTTGTGCTACTTTAACGATACTCAAAGAGTCAGAAAATATCCCAGCCCCGAAATTCGAGTAGATAACCTACAGAAGTGCATTTTATTATTTCCGTATGAATGGTGCATAATCGGCCTCCCAACTGACCTAACAACCTCAAGGACGTTTAGGAGAGCCTCCTTCATAATAAATAAAAAAAAAAAAAAAAAGTAGTCGTCAGATTCTCTCCCTCCCCCCCCCCGAATCTCTCCAGCAACTCACTTATGAATAAAAGCTTTCTTCCAGTCCTTCATGTTTTTTAAATTTTACCTATTGTCGAAATCTTTTATCGCGTAAGTTTTTAAGATATTAAAAGTTTATGAAGGTTTTAAAGTGATTTTCGAAAATCTTATGTATGGGATTATCTTTGAAGACAGTTTTTCCGTATTATGCATTTTAGGTGCAATTTTTCTCTCTAAACTGTTTTAGATGCATTTCAGTGGCATTCCTATTTTTGAATTTTGATTATGTGTTTATTGTAAAGGTCTGCTTAGATAATATTTTCACATTTTTGTCACAGGAAAACTTTGCTTCTTTAACAGTGCTACTCAGAATCAATAGTATTATATATAATCAATTATAGTGTTATATATAATCAATATAATTTCTCTCTCCTTTCTACGTGCCTTCGTGGTTAACTGGAAGCGACGTATAATCCGTATATTCAGAGTTAGACTTCCGACGAAGGCATTGCACAAACCTTGTAGTTCTACAGTAGCGCCCGAACTAAAATATGGTGGACGATAGCACATGACCACCAGGATTTGGCGGTTGGGTCCTGTAATCTCCCATCAGCTTGCCTTTGGCGTAATTGAAAGCGCATCCGACGCGTAATCGGGAGGTCTGAAACCCGGAGAGGGCTGCACATATTTCACGTCTCCTATACTGAGAAACCTAATGTCTAACCTAATACTGAGTCTAACCTAATGTCTAACCTAATGTCTAACCTAGTACTGAGAAACCTAATGTCTCCTATAGTGAGAAACCTAATGATCATTATGTTACCGTATTATTATTTTATCCAGACATACGAACTTAATGAATACAAAGGTGCTGTGACATCACATGATTCAAATAGAAGAGGGCTTCTTCACCACAATTCGCGCCAAGGTATAATGAGAATTCATTTAATTACATTGAAAATTTATGCAGCATTCCAAAAAAAATCCTTAGCCACGATCCCTTTACAGTATGGCCTTCACTCTGGTACAGGATAAAATAGTTTTGCTAGAATTATGGCAATTTGCAACAAATCTTTTTTATAAATATTAAGCATTTCATCTCTGATCATGTACGAAATTAAACGATTTACATTTCAAAGCATGTTTAGCATTGACCCAAAATATATTTTGGCTTGTTACTGTGTTTGTTACATATATTTACTACTATACTATTTTATACATGTTCTATGTTTGTTTCAAAATATTTCTAATAGGTCTGAATTTTTTCCCTCCCTAGGCATCCAGACTCACGACTTGCAAGAATGTTCAATGGAAGCATACCAATAGTTTTAGACAGTCTGAAACAGCATTATTTCATCGATCGTGACGGCAAAATGTTCCGGCATATTCTGAATTTTATGCGCACTAATAACTTATCGCTTCCGGATGATTTTAATGAACTTGACTTACTGTATGAAGAAGCCCGTTTTTACGATATTCCTGCCATGGTTCGACAAATTGAACAATTAAAACGAGAACGCAGTAAGAAAAAAGTTGAAGCAACATGTTCCTCTAGTTCATCTTCTCAGTCCAGAAATGGTCGTAGATATCACGACAGCCAGAATAATATGCACAGTGAATGCAGCAGTAGTCCAGGATATGACGAACGTGGTCCAGGCGAATTTCAGTGTCTTGCCCTCAACGTTAGTCCAGATCTAGGTGAGAGGATTGTAATCAGTGGAGAAAGAGCTTTAGTAGAAGAGGTCTTTCCAGAAATTGGACAACCCTTGATGGACGCAAGAAGCAGTGTGGCTTGGAACCAGGACTCCAAACACGTAATTCGTTTCCCTCTCAATGGTTACTGTAAACTAAACTCTCTGCAAACTATCGTGAGACTCTTAAACGGTGGTTTTCGAATATTAGCATCTAATGGTGGAGGTGTGGAAGGACAGCAATTCAGTGAATATTTATTTGTCCGTAGATGCGCCCCTCTATGAAATGAGGGTTCAAACAATTTTTGAACACTGTGATTTCACCACTTTTACCATTTCGAACTGTGAAATGCTGACAGTATTTTGGGGGGCTATGTATAAAAGCGCAAGTCCTAGTGTAAGAATCCTAAATTATACGGATGAGAACTAGGTTTCCGCAGATTAAGGTGCCAATATATAGAAGTGTAAATTATATCTCCATTGTTGCTGAATTTTAAGTCTTGTTAACAAGTGTTGATTTGGTATCCGTTGGAATATGTCTTTCGTGCAAATATAAACTGTTGAACCAAATTATATGATTAAAAGGGAAAAGATCTCAATTTCAGTTCTACAAACATTTGTCTGTCTTATCACGGGAGAACTGTAAAGAGCAAGGTTGCTTCATATATTAGCACAGCTAATCATAGTCACGTCTTAAGCATTAATTTACTTTCACTCTGATAAAATGTACTTGTATTTCCAATGTCATTTGTAACCTCACTATGTAAGTTATCATTTTTTTAACATATTTCTAAGCAAATAACGAATTGTGCTAAGGAGATTTAACAGTCTGAAAATTTGCATGTTTTACTTTAGAGCTAGCTAAAAAAATTGCATTCTGAATCGAAAGTGCTAGTCAAGATTATTCCTTTCATAGACAAATACAAGAAAATGACCCTCAAAAACTTCATTATAAAACAAAATGCAGGCAGTTCTGAAATCTGAAGGAAATTTTTATGAATCCAGAGTCAGCATATTTTTATCTTTTGGAAATTTCACAATACGATCACCTTCATTTGCTATCATTTGACAAGGAATCTTAATTTCGCATTATTATACGTATTCTTAATGGGAAACGTACTACGCCTGTGAAATACGAGGCGTATTCGGAAACTAAATACCGTTTTGGAGAAAAAAAATTGTAAAACAATTTTTTCGAATCCAATTTTATTTTTACATGAAAATACATGTCTTAAACTATTTTTCAACATAGTTTCCGCCAATGATCAAACACTTCATAGCGGGTGACCAGTTTTTGTATACCATCGTCAAAGAAATTTCCCGCAGTTTCGATAACCACGACTCACAGCATTTTTCGTGTCATCGTAGATCCAAAGCACTTGCCACCAAGCTCGCGCTTCATGTGCAGGAACAAGTGATAGTCGGACGGCGCCAAGTCCGGGATGTACGGCGGGTGATCGAACTTCTCCCAATGAAACTGTCAATTAACGATTGAGTGACACCAGCAGTATGGGCCGAGCATTGCTGGAGCAACACAATCCTTTACTGAGCATTCCTCTTCGTTGTTTGAATGGCACGCCTTAGTTTGTTAAAGTCTCACAATATCGTTGCCGCATTATGGTTCACTTCTGGGAAGAAATCAGTAAGCAAAACGCCTTTCCTATCCCAGAAGACAGTGAACATGATTTTTGATGACTGTCACTTTGAACTTTTGTTTTTTCGGAGATGAGTGCATCTCCACTCCATCGATTGTTGTTTCGATTCTGGTGTGAATGACACACAAAGTTTCATCACCTTGTCACAATTTGATTTAAAAAGTTTTTACCTCATCACTGTACGCGTGAGAAATGTAGGGCACTACCAAGTCGTTTGTTTGTGACATCAGTGACCTTTTTGGAACCCATCGGGAACACAGTTTGCGATAATTCAAGCGGTCAGACACAATTTCGAACAAAACAGTACGTGAAATTTGTGGAAATGCCTCTGAAAAAGTTGTCATTGTGAAGCGTCTGTTCTCATGAATTGCTTCATCAACTTTCCTTACCAAATCATCGGTGACAACAGAAGGCCGACCACTCCGAGCCTCGGCGTGGACATTTGTTCGACCTGCATTAACATTCTTACCCACTTTCTCACCATTCCATCACTTTTCCCGTATTCACCGTAAACTTCTGTCACTTGACGATAAATTTCGGACGGTTTAACATTCCTCGCGTTCAAAAATTAATCACGGCACGAATCTCACAGTCAGCGGGAGAACTAATTGTCTTAAACATTTTGAATGTGCACAGCAAACTGAAAACACAACATAGAGCAACCAAAATGGCGACAATTGAAAGTCAGTGAACAAGAAAGACTAGTGCGCATGCGCGGGACGCCTACCGCAGCGCTGCGACGGCGCTAGAATGAAACGGTACTTAGTTTCCGAATACGCTATGTAGTATCCGAGCTAGTAGTTTTTAAATTATCCATGATAATTTTTCCTATCTAGATATATCGGTTACATCTGTAATAATATATTTTATACTTACATTTAATAACAAGTAGGTAGTGCCTCTTTTCTGTTAGAAATGTCTGTAGCGAAACCTTTCCGATTTTGCAGGCTGTTATATTATTAGGGCAATTACAGCTTACGCAGCCTGACAAATGTTGCCGTTGCAAGAGATTTAAGATCGTTAAATTTCACGCGACCTAACAAATAGCCTATTCTTAAACTGTTGCCATTTTACGCCATAGAAGATCTTAAATTTATCTTTCAAATTACAACTGTAGTTGTTTAACAAACTGGGTGACTTAAAAACGATAAATGGATTTCTTAATAATTTACGTCTTTATTTGCTTTTAATAGCATACTTAACTGACAGGATTTATCGCATTTGATTCCTGTAAGTTCACAATATTTCCAACCGATAATGTTTTAATGTTTCTAATATTAAAATATGTTTCTAATTCAGTTGCATTACGCACCTCAGGAAACTTTTTTTGAGGTAAGGAATATAATTGTTGTTCTTATCATAATTACTGCTAATACATAGATACAATCACATCAAGTACTTTTTTTTTAATCCCGATTGCTTCTGTTGTTTTTGTTCGACTTTACTCGGCTATGGAAAATGTTTGTTTCTTTGCTTTAATTAAGGTAATATAACAGCAGCATATCAGATATCCATGCAGAATTTCAGATTGTTAACTCTTTGGAGATACATCCAAGCGCACACTATGTTACATTTATGTTTATTATTACAAATAGTCATTGGAATACTATTTAAATTAATGCAAAAATGAGGGTTTTTTTTTTTTTTTTTTTTTTTTTTTTTTTTTTTTTTTTTTTTTTGTATAGTGTTTAGAATTGTTCTTTTCCGTATGTAAATTTGCACTAAATATTGTCATTTTTATTCCCACACAAGAAGAAATTATCTTTTATTGATAAGTCATCATTTTCTATTTTCCCAGAAAGAATTTTATTCGTGCCATAAAAATTATGAGTAATTCCATTGTAAAGAATTAGCGTATAACTGTGCTTAATGGCGCCTTCGCTTCTCTATGACTTGTATATAATTTATCCTGCTGTAAACTGCTCATAATCTTGGCTATATTTTTGGAATTTTGCTGTTTATACTCCTAAAATATAATTGTCAATATATATGTGTACGTGTTTTGTGTTTCGCTTTGTTTTCTTTTAAATTCGTCAACAGTTGTGTTACGTTGAGTTTTTATTATCTGAGGCTTTTATCATTGTGTTACTTGAATCTTAATGATAATAAACTATATTACGTTTTCGTAACCCTCCCAACTACTTTTGCCTTCCGAAGTATCAATAAGAAATTGACAGATGTTTTTCTCCCCGTTACTTATAGTAACTGTTTTATTGCCAATTCAGCGTAGTTGAATATATTTACATCATTCACAGGATCTAGATTGTCTTTAGTAGAAGAACAAACATTTCTTTCTTTAATGAATTCAATTTATTTACAAATATTTCTGCTTAAGTAAGAAATTATTATGTTTTATTTTACAAAGTGCAATGTAATTTATGGTTACTATTCCTAGAAATAATTTCTGTGCCATGAGTTTCATTTTACATTTCCATGATGCCATATTGTCATCATAAAAATTATTTTGCTTTCATTTACTTTTGTTTGAATTGCCATTAAAATACTGATATAATTGACCAGTGTGCTTGTCTATTTCATTAAAACACCGTAAATACTTAATTCTTGTAATGTTTAAGAATGACAAAAATAAAATGTACATCAGTCAAACTTCATTATAAGGAATGCCAGTAACATGCTCAATGAGTTAAACCTTTCAGTACTGAATCTGTATTCACTGAAATCATCAAAGGATTTGGTTAAATGAAATTTTTATAAAGAAATTTCCTCATTAAAGCTATCATTTCTTTATACACATTTCTTTTAACTGATTTCAGTTATATATTACCCAATAAAACAAGTAGAAGACAATTCTCTCGTGTATTGTAACTAATACCAGCTTTTAAACATTACAAGATAAATTAATAAAAGCTTTATTAGAGTCGCAATATGATGTCAGACATCAAAATGATGAAGAGAAATTATTCATTAGCAACCAAAATATTTCTATGTTTATGACAGCTAAGCTTATGAGTTTTGGTTTGGTTGGTTTATTAAATTACGGCAAAGCACTCGAGGGCTATCTGCCTTAAGGGAGAAATGCCTTCGTGGCGGATTTTTTAAGGGAAACTAGCTCGTATACACGCTACACATGGGGAAAACCACGAAAACACCCATGCAGCCAGCCCGTTCGCTGGATTCGAACTACCAGTGTTCAGCGACGTTACTGCTCGGCCGCTGGTGGGCCCTTATGAGTTTTGAATGACATTATTGTATCTTAAGACTATTATGAAGAATTCTGTGAAAGAAATTACAGCAGCTAAATCGTTTATTACTCAAGCAATTCTGTACCGTTTGCTTAACTTTAAATATGTTATCTGGAAGTGGTTGTAACGCTGATAAATAAGGATTTGTTATAACAAGGAGTTAGTGATACTTCTGCCCCCCAGTACACGTATGAATTGTCGCTGTGTAAGCATAGTAAAAATAGTGCAACGATTTTATTCACCTCATCTTTAGCTTGGGTGAGAAAAGTGTCTTGTAAATAAAATTATGTCCCATAATAATCATCGCGATTTTTGGCTATCAAGACTTCAAGATTAACATTTTATTCAAGAAATAGTTCGCCCACCAGCGGCCGAGCGGTAACGTCGCTGAACACTGGTAGTTTCGGTCCGACTTTCGAATACCGCGAACGGGCTGGCTGCATGGGTGTTTTCGTGGGTTTCCCCATGTGTAACGTGTATACGAGCCAGTTTCCCTTAAAATGTCCTCCACGAAGGCATCCCTCCCGTAAGGCAGATAGCCCTCGAGTCCTTTGCCGCAATCTAATAAACCAAACCAAGCCAAGAAATAGTTAATAACATTGTTTTCGTTGCAAGTTTTAAGATGAATTTTTTTAAAGCGTAACTATTGAGACATCAGGGAATACGTTTATTTATGCCTATCAGATATAAATTTAAATTCATCTTATAATCTTATAATGTTATTTTATTGCGTAAGATAATAGAGAAGTGACCAAGCAACTATCTTTATAAAAGCTTACACGTTTCCCTTTTACACCTTACATAGATTTCTAAGGTGTCTCTTTTAAGGTGTCTCCTGACATAGATACATTACATGCATTTTAAGGTGTATTTCTCAGGAAAAAGCTGGCTTAGAAAATTTAGCAGTTGAAATTGCATTTCACAAAAATTTGTGAGTTGCTATTTAAATTATGCATTAAAATCCTAGGTTACTTAAAAACTATCATTAGCATAGTCTGAAGAAGAAAGGTTCTTGTTACTTATCTCACTCTATCTTCACTTGCTTGAGAGTAACAGAACCGTTGCAAGGAGCGCAAGAATGCTTCTTTCGTCAGCATGGGCCTTAAATTGACATCTTACAAGTGACAGAATGACTTAGCACAGGTCCATCCTAGTTTTCAGAAAGAATCTCCCAGAGACAGATCCGAGGGTTTCCGACCCCTCTATCTCCAACACCAAAACTCTCAAGAAGACTTTTGTCTCATTATGTATTTAAGTGTCGCTAATACACTACGGACTTACAAACATCTAAAATTCCAATTACATTATGTTTCGGCTACGCGGGACTTGACGTCGAAAGGGACTATTCTCAGAACCCGCACAATTCCAGGAAACCCATGTAGCTAGGTTACCATTTTC